TTATTTACTTATTTTTACACGTAAACTCAAAATATTTTCATACTTTTTAACCACACATTCTCTCAAAAATACTATTCAAAATGATATTTTAAAAATTTTAAGGATGTAAAACAAGGGCTTAATGATTTTAAATTTGTCTCGCACGACTCAAAACAGTAAAGGTCATGTAAATTTCACCTATGTTTGGGCTCCATTAAAATTTTAATACATTTTTTCTCTCTTTTTTTCAATCATATATTTTTTAATAAAATAATATTATACGTAAATCCAAAAATTTTCTTCTTTTTTAATCACACATTTTTTAAAAATCACTATTTCAAAATATATTGTTCCCAAAAATTTGATTTTAAGAGAGCCCAAACAAGGGCTTCATTTGCGGTAGTTACATACACTTTTATTCTATTTTAAATGAGATAAATATATTTCAATTTTATTCAATCGGATAATAATACTTCAATTATTTTCAGTTAGGTAATATAGTCTAACTCAATCATTTAGACTGATGAAAATCAATCACATGACACTCAATAAATAACGTCTGTCATTTATCTGAATGAAATTGTATTTATTTCATTTTAACAACTAACAGTTACATGTAGCAATAACGAGTTAAATATTTCACTAATCATTGAACTTATACATTCGTCAAGCTTTAATCACTAAAATTTTAAAATGCTTTCGAGTAATAATTGAACTTTAACATGTTGCACTACATCATTCACTCACCACGTTTCATAAGTCAATGAAATTTAAAATACTTTTAAGTGGTCACTGAACTTTACAACGTTGCAACCTTATCACCCACTCATCACATTTTATTAGTTATTGAACTTATATTTCTCTCACACTTTACTCACTGAACCATAAAATGCTTTCAAATGATCATTGAACTTCATAATATTTTTTACTTAAAGTTGATTTTCTAAGAGATTCGACCTATATCAAGAAAATAAAATAAATATCGACTAGATAATGAAATTCTCAATTTAAAACGAGAATATTAATATTTGTCAAGAAAATATTATTTCTCTAATTGTCAAAAGCCATGGCCAATGGAAAAGAAAAATACTAGCTTCAATTGACATAAAATATTAATTTAGATTATACTCTTCATTTACGTCGAAAAAATAAAATAGATAAATTATTTCTTTATTTATATCTTATTCAAGTAGTGAAATTTTCAATTTAAAATTAATAATATTAATTAAGACTAACAAAATATAATTTTTAGAATTATCACAAGGTAATTCAAAAGGAAAAAGGGCATCGTTGTAATAACTTGACCTTTGTGTTCAACCTGTTAATTTACGTATTACTTGCTCTGGGAGAGTCAGCACATCTTACCCTTCATGGATTGCTATCGCGTCCTAAGATTAAAATACATGAGCTCTCGGTAAGAGAGATTTAAGATGCATCCTGAGGGGACACCTTGGATTCAACTTAAATCTCTATTCCGAGGAGATCATGCTCGAATCCTGTAAATGCTATAGAAATTTGTTAGAGATTTTTTTGTAACGACCTAACCTTTGTGCCTAAACCGTTAACTTACATACTATCTACTTTTGAAGAGTCCGAACCTACATCACCCATCACGAATTTCTATCATGTCTCTAGTAACATAGTGATTATTTTTGTTAATACTACATTTAAAGAATCTCCAATTTATGGGAATCTTGTATTGCGAAGCTTCTATTGCTTTAGCATATCTAAGATGGCCTGTATTTATAAAGAACATCGTAAGCATAATCAATATTCTAAAAAGCATAAAGCGTAGCGAAGCGTGGAGACCTAGTTTCGGCCTAGGAGACAACTAGACGCCTCTTTTTAGAACACTAGGTGTAATAGAGAACATCTTTATATTTAGAGTGTAATTTTTTTATAGACTTCAATGATGTTTTTATTTTGACTCTTGGTATTGATTTTTTTTTAAAAAAATATGTATTGATTTCTCATAATCTTTTATTGAATATTTTTTTTATATGTTAATGTCCAATTATTTCAAATAAAATTTGAATAATTTAAGAAACTGAGTATTTAAAGTTTGTAACTTATTAAATGCATTCATTCTAAAGTAAGAGTAGAGTGTGAGTTCGATTCTGAAGAGCAAAACTCAATTTCTATTTTATAAAGTCAGAATAGAAAGCCTATTGAAACTTATTTTTAAAAAGCGACTATTTGAAATAGAGTGCATCTTGTTTTTCAAGAGTCTCTTGAAAATACTCTAAAATAAAATATCTCGGAACTTTTTCCTTTTATTTTTTTGAGCATGGACTCTGTAATGTATAGAGCAACTTGAATTTAGAAAAAAACTTTTGGGTTTGCTATTAGAGACTCTTTAAAGAGTATCTTGTGCACTATAAAGAATATTTTTAAACTTAAAAGACATAAATCTTGCTCCTACAAAATATCTATTTGTAGCTCGTTTTTTACTTTTTCAGAAAAAAACGTTTATTGTTTTTCTCCTTTTTCATTAATATATATACTTTTTGATGTCATGACCAATAAAATCAAGGGTGTGTTTGATGAATATTATTGACGAAATCATGTATTTTAAATAGTGATATGATGTGAAATATGTGGTGAAAAAGTAAGGAAAAATTATTGATGTGATGAAAAATATTATTTATTAAAAAATTTGTGGTTGAAAATGAGTTTTGAAATAATGTATTTTGAAAGAATGTATACCAAACTGGGGCCAAATATGATTTGCATAGTTCATGAAATTTGACGTTAAAATTTTGACTTATTAAACCCAATCATTTAAGTACAAAATTAAGCCCATGTTTGTCATCTATTAAAATCAAACTGTTTTTTTTATTCAAACTCATTTTTAACCACATATTTACACAATAAAATATTTTACACATAAATTTAAAAAAATTTCCTACTTTTTAATCTCACACACACACACACATGTTTGGTAGTCAAGAAAAAGAGTTATTTTGAGAAAATGTGTTTTGGAATAGTGGTTTAAAAAAAATATAAATATTTTTTTTAAACCACTATTCCAAAACACATTTTCTCAAAATAACTCTTTTTCTTGACCACCAAACATGAACAAGAAGTTTCTACTCGTAGATATTGGTAGTGGCGTTCATAAGCAATACAACAACAAATATCTAACCAAAAGAACACGAGAATATGTGTATTTGGTCATTTGGTGTTTATACTCGACCGTCTATACAAAATTTTGTGTCACGTCTCATCTTCTAATTGCTCATTTTTTATGAAGTTAGTCGCTAGAGTTAAAAATGAAACGTTCAGAGTTTTTTTTCCTCTTTACATCTCTGTTGTTAATACACAATAACTTGCGAAATCAGACTTTACAAATCCAATTTCAAGACGACATTTTGCCATCACTAGTCCGAGCAAAAAGCTAAAAAACAATATTACAAAATATAGTGAATCAAAAATGGATTTTAATTATAAAATGTTGACTCCTCCAGTAGTCTATTAAATAGGAATAGAGACTAAAAGATAATTTTGCACATACATAGCAACCACAGCATATTATACAAATACAAAAATCTACCAAATTATTCCTTCAATAAAGTCCACAAAGTTCTTTAGTCTTAAAACATAATCCTCACATTATTAAAGCTCGCGTATACGGTATACTAAACTAACATTGGATTTCCAGCTACGAACATTGTTCTCCAAAACTATTTAACAAACGTGTTTCGTCATTATCAGAAGCAAGATAATTAACCACCACCGCCAGAGCCGTATTTCTTGCCAAAAACAAGAACCTGTAATTTGTCGTAACCAGCAAGTACACCAGCCCCAGCAACAGCACGCAGGATGTTGGCTCCAGCACCCTTGAAGAGTGATTTAGTCCCTTCCTTCTTGACGATCTGGGAAAACGCATCCATTGAGCTCTTATATTTGACAGCCTCTCCCGAGGTCATCATCATTCTTCTACGCACGGTATCAATTGGGTAAGAGGCCAACCCGGCACCAATGGTGATACCCCATCCAAGCAAGAAACTTGCCAGGAAATTATCCTGCGGATAACCAATAATATGTTAGCAGCCTGCATACTGGCTATTTCCGTCTAGAATTTACTAATGCAGCAGGCAAAAATAGGTGTAAAATAGCGCATCAAACAAAGGAAAAAGAACATGCCAAAGCACATAAAATTGGGTCATCATGCAGGTCAAATATTATCTTGGCAACACAGCAGAGTTGACCTGGAGAGATCAGAAATCAGCCAAGTTGCAAGGTTGGCTTTTACTCTGATGTATCATTGTCATAAAAAGGTGGAAGGAAAGACAAAGCATCTTATGGATGGAAATAAAGTGGCAAATATGAATTGATGACGTATAAGTTATAAATAGAGGTCTAGAATCAAGATTTCAAAATTCAGAGGTCTGCTGACCTGCAATGAACCAACCAGTACTACAGGTTTCAATGAATCATACAACCCAAAGTAGAGCCCACGGTAGACAATAATTCCAACACATGAGATACTAAATCCACGGTAAAGCCCAGCAAGACCATCAGATTTGAGTGTTTTCTTGTAAACATCAATCAAACCATTAAACTGTCTTTCACCGCCCTTCGTCGCAGCCTTAGCATCATTTGCCAACCGTGTTCTAGCATAATCAAGAGAGTAGACAAACAGAAGAGACGAGGCACCAGCAGCACCACCCGATGCCAAGTTTCCTGCAAACCACTTCCAGTAGCCATCCCTGTCTTTCTTGAAGTTAAAAAGTCTCTTGAAGTAGTCTTTGAAAGCAAAGTTTAAGGCCTGAAGCATATGCATTAATTTCAAATGTCAATGAAAAGAAAAGCTGATGAACTAGAGAACTATTACTATCTTTTAAGCCATGCTTTAATTTCAATAATATCTTATCTCAAAAGCACAAGAATCAGAACAAATTTATTGTATAGTAGTTGATATGTTTTAATTAAAACCAGATAAACAAACATAATAAGACTGGCCAGCAAGCAATTGCATGATGAATTTAAATGCACCCATTCCCATGGTGAGTTTAGACTATATATTCACGATTATAATTAGCAAAGTGAAAAAAAAAAAAAAAAAAAAATTACAGCAAGAGTGAGGAACAGATAAGATTGTATATTGACCTGGGTGGGGAAGTATCTAATAACATTTGCAGTGTTGCCTCTCCAGAGGGCAAGTGTTCCTTCATCCTTTATTGTTCGAGCAAAGCAATCACCAATCCCTTTGTATGGTTGAGACAAACGACCAGTTTTGATCATTTCATCCTGGTTCTGAATCAAGAGCTTAACTCTTTCTATTGGGGCAGCAGCTGACTTGGAGACAGCAGCAGAAACCCCTCCCATGAGGAAATCCACCATAAAACTGGAAAAGCCTTTATCCTTCTCAAGTGGAGCAGGAATCATAAAAGGAGATATCGGTGATACGGTTTCCAGCCCAGTTCCTTGGTATGATGGAAAGAAATGGCTTTGCAGAATTCCGTTGACATATCTACCAGTCAAATTGGGTAAACCAGCATTCCTTGAGTGCATGTGCGGAGAAATTCGAGAGAAGAAGTAAGATTGTCTGTGTATCTTCTGATATACAGACGGATGCTTTGAACCGTCTGCCATGTTATCAAATCAAAGTGGTGACCTGCAAAGAAAAATCATGTTAATAAAAAGAAAATCTTCTGAAATTATTCCACAACTTTTTCATAGATGATGAATTGAAGATTACAACCATAGTCTTCTCATCATTAGAACTGCAACTGTAAGCAGGTTGAATTATAAGTAAAATCCTATTCACTTATTTCCAAGCAGCTTCAGTATGACATCCTGTGAGGATATCTAGTTCCATTCAGCATGTGAAAATTCCGTTTGATATAGTTTGAAGAAAAGTCTACAGAGATATAATATCCAGACCAAAAGTCTGAATGCATCGAGTCCCAATACACGAACTTGTGAGCTCTACTAGACTACTAGTGACTTCTGCAATTTTAAAACAAAGTAACCACAACATTTTTACCCCTTACAGGAATTTAGACTAGAGATAATTTACTAAGGTAAATGCCCTTTGAATTGTGTCGTGTAACCAAAGAAGGTTGATAGGTTATTGCAAATTTGCACAGATAATACATCTACATAAACCAATTTCACCATTAAGTAACCATTTTTTTTCCAAAAGTATGAACATCAATGATCATTTAACCGTGTGGCAATTATCTTCCAGAATTCATTAAATTAATTAGCTATTTCTTGATGAAATGTTCACAGCTTAAAAACAATGAAACGCAAGATAAAAATAATGATCTGCATTCCTGTCTTCATTTGCTAACAAATTAATAAATGACCTTAACAGAGACTCACAGTCTCCTTGTTAAAGGTTGGCTTGAGAGTATACAAGCACATTGAGCACCAAAACTATCCAACATTCTAAAATCAGTAATATCAAATTACACATACTTCTGGGGACAATCCTAGCAGTAGACAAGGCAACTGAGGAGGGGTACTTCTAGAAGATCACCAATTCACGAAGTCACCACCATGGATGTCAGTTCATTGTATCACAGTCAATACCACTGAGTTTATTACAGGCTCAATTTTAAAAGTACAAAAATCAATTCAAAACTCCAGGAAATTCAATTACACATTCATAACAAACATGCACAAACTAAAAATAATTCAATTACATAAAAATTAAAGAAATGATTTTAAGTAATCAAAGAAAAATAATCTGATCAGAATCAACGCTATTATCAGCTAAATCAGGGCCGATCGCATTAAACTAGAATGAACATAAATGTTACACATACAATTATATAATATATAGAGCGACAAAATTCTGGAACCTGAGGAAGGATATTCCCGTATGTGCGGAAGGGTAAAGATGGATGAACTGAAGAAGGGAAAAATTTATTGCATATCCAATAAAGAATATTAGGATTCTTACGAAATTACCTTTCTATCCCTGCTATTTCCACAAAATTTTCATCCAGCCTGATCTCCTACCCTGGTGATAAAAATAGTTCTCTTACCAGTATTGAGATTTTTTTTTGCTGCCCACTAGAGACAAGATAGCAATTTCAGACATATAACATTACTCATACAAAAGTTGAAAGTTGCACAAGTTGATAAGTAAGGGCATGTTTGATGCACCAAATTTTTCATGAAAAATGAAAATCAAATTCCAACTTTCAGCCCTCTTTTTCGGCCATTGGAAAAAATTTTATAATCAATTGAAAAAAAAATCATTTTAATGGACAATTTTCATGTAAAACAAAATCAAACGAATACTAAATTTTGATGAAAAATTGATTTTCTTGGAAAAAAAAACCAATTGTGGAAAAAATTATCACTTTAATGGACAATTTTCATGTAAAACAAAGCCAAACGAACACAAAAAGATCCAAAATTTTAAAATTTTCGGGTGAAAAATTATATCAATCAAACACACTTAATTAACAATTTCCTAAAAAACAAGTTTAAGACAATTATTTTCTCTAAAATTCATTTTCTTTTCACCATTGTAATCAAACGGACCCTAAAAGTTTATTGCACCAATAGATTTGGTGAAAAATGAAAAATAGAGATATGAATCTATGTATAAAATTATTTATTTTTGAAAAATTTGTGATTAAAAATAAATTTAGAAAAATATACACCAAACATGAGCTAACTATGAAGTTGGCATGTACATAGTTGCACATGTTCGCTACATTTGAGCAATTGTCCCCACAGCTCCCTTACTTCAGCCCTAATCAAATGTTGGTGTTAACTAACTAGAGTTTAAAGCCTGGTTTCGTTTAGCTAAAATTAAATTTTAAGTAAATTTTGATAAAAGTTGATGAAATATGTAGTTGAAAATTTGATTAAAAAATTGTGAATTCAAAGAAATGTGTGATTGAAAAGAAAATTGAGAAAAAATGAGTTTTAGAAAATAAGGATCAAACATGGATTAAGTCTATCGCCCAAAATTAAACATTTGGTCGATGAAGGTTTTTTTTTTTTAAATCGGTAAATGTGAATTTGTTTTATCAAAACTAATATACAAATACTCCAAGCATACAAGAGCTTAGAAGGTAATCTTTACAAATGATACAAATGGTAAAAATCTAAAGACCCAACGCTAAAAACTAAAAATAAATCAAAACATGATGATATAAGGAAAATATAACTTTGTATATACCACAAAGTAAAAGGATGATAAAGGATTTCATTGTCTAATGTTATTTTATCGGCTTTGTTAGAGGTACATCGGGGTGTACACCCCTCTAACATGGAGGTAGGGCCCGCTCGAATAAAAAAATATTTTACATAGGTGGGTCCTTGATGTAGACCTTAATGTACATCTCTTGATGTACAAGTAGATTTATCCTTATTTTATTGGGAGAATGTATAGTTGAATACAAGCTTAAAAAAATAAAAAAAATAAAAGAATGGAGTTCAAACGGGGCTTAACGTAACAATCATACACTATTTCAATAGATCGAGCTCTTAAATTCATCAATAAATATAAACTATGTCATTATTCCTTCATATAATTCATAAACTGATGCAAGGCCATACCTTAAATTTGGCAATTTGCAACTTTACATTGATACAAAGTTATATTTTTCAAAATGACAATGCACGGCCTTAAAACTTTTTCAGACTTTTTAAGGGTGCATTTCATCGCGAGCATGAAAAGAATATGAAAATTATTAATTAAATATTTTTGATTGATTTAGTTTTCAATCTAAAAAATATTATATTAATTCATTTTTTTTATTGGTGGTAGATGAGAAATGGGGGATATATGAGACAGAGAAAGAAAGATAGAGTGATTTTTATTTTCTAGGTAATTCACTCTATCTTTCTTTCTCTCTCTCATCTATCTCACTTCTCTCATCTACCTATCAATAAAAAATGAACAAATAGAATATTTTCTAGGTTAAAAACTAAATCAATCAAATACATTTAATCAATAATTTCCATATTCTTTCCATGCAAGTTCCATAATCGCAATCAAATGTAACCTTAAAATTCGACTCAAATCTGAAAAATTTATGGCCCGGCTTGCATAGGGTTGGCAAAAAAGCACGCCGGCTCGGACTCTGTTACAACGAGCCAAGGCTGGGGCCGAGCCTCATTTTTTTGGCTGGGCTTTAATCTGCTCGGACCCAAAAAAGGTCGGTCCCTAAAAACTCGAGTCGAGTCCAAACTTTTTTATTTAATTTATAGTACGTATAAACCGTACAATTTTTAAATCTTTTAAGTAAAAATGTAAATTTGACATTAAAAAAAATCCCGAACGGCTCGGCCTGGGCTCGGCTCGGTACGCTTAGGCTCGGGTAGAAAACTCGGCCTAAAAAAGCTCGAGTCGAGCCTGAGCTTTTTTTTTTTCCCGCTCGGGCTCGACTCGGCTCGTTGACATAGCTAGGCTTACATCAATGTAAAGTTGCAAATTGCCAAATTTAAGGTACGGCCTTGCATCGGTTTATGAATAATATGAAGGAATAATGACATTGTTTATATTTCTTTATGAATTTCAGAGCTCGATATATTGAAATTATGTATGATAGTTACGTTAATGACATCGGTTTAATTTTTTTTTTTTAAAACTCATATTCAACTTCACATTCTCCCAATAAAATAATATTACACGAAAATTCGAAAAATTCTCTAATTTTTAACTACACATTCTTTAAAAATGTGTTATAACAAAGATGGAACGTGTCTCCGAGGGAGCTCCCAAGGTGATGCAAAGGTATTCTAAACTATCCCGACTGAAGAGTCGTAAGCTCATGGAGATTTATATTTATAGATTCACCAGCATGTTATCATATTTATACTGAATTCTTGCACAAATATGAAAACATAATGTAATAATCATATTTTTTAAGCACTTTCTTGTCGAGATGCAAACAAATTGGCCACTGCTTAGAGGCTAGAATCAATTCTTCGACAAGACTCGTTCTTAATGGTTTAATGGAAGAGTAATTTTCATTCCGTCCATGCTTTTGTAACTAATTGTACAAACGTGTAAAGAGGAAATTTTTATCGATTATTATTATAGTTTTGTAATTTTACTTTGTTTTATCTAATATACGGATCAAAGCATGTAACATTCATGTTTTACTATAAACTTGAGTATAAAATTAATCCGATTTTGGAGGCAACCTCATACAACAATTAATCCTTATATATATTATGCTAATGTTTTAATTGTCGTGTTTGGATCCTAAAAGTCCCATCTAGGCTTTGATGTTGTTTAAAAAAAAAAAAAAACAAAGATATATAGTATTGAAGAATATCGTTCAATTTTATTTTGTCTCTTTTCGTCTTAGTCGTATCCACCAGCGTGCATATATACTAGACTTCTCTTTGAAGTTTTTGAAAAAACTAAGGCCTTGTATGGGAGAGATTAAAATCGGATTAAAATTGAAAATATAGCCGTTATTGTTGACTTTTATTAGACGAGTGGGACCCAATAACGACCATATTTTCAATTTTAATTGGCTTTTAATCCCTCCCGAACGGGGCCTAAATATGAAGATAGTAAATTATAAAGTTAAAGACAAATTACCAGGAACCGTTACAACAGCATCCTTAATTGTCTTCCCAAGGAATGCTTCTGCTGTTTCTTTCATCTTTCCTAAAATCATAGCACTGATTTCCTCAGGGCTGAAGACTTTAGTCTCGCCATCCCTAATTTTGACTTGGATATAAGGCTTTCCGTCCTTGTTCACGATTTTGTAAGGAACAAGCTTCATATCCTTCTGAACTTCCTCGTCCTCAAACCTGGCACAAAATAATTTAAAACTTTAATCAGTATTTATTAATCAAATGCAGAATAAAAATACTTATATATATTGAGCAAAAAGAGCTTACTTTCTTCCAATGAGTCTTTTAACATCAAAGATAATCCTCTCAGGGTTGACGGCTGCCTGGTTCTTTGCAGCCTCACCAATCAATCTTTCAGTGTCGGTGAATGCAACCCATGATGGGGTAATTCGGTTTCCTTGGTCATTAGCTATGATTTTGACATGTCCATTCTTATAAACACCAACACAGGAATAGGTTGTACCAAGGTCTATGCCAATAACTGTTCCCAATTTAGTGGCTTCCTCTTTGGCAATAGAAATTGCTGGTAGACAGACTGTTAGACAAGACAAGGTTAGTCGACATTATTAAGCATTTAGCAAACTAATAATAATTGAAACACAGAAGCCAAAAGCAATTAGACATGAGAAGAACATGT